GATATGATATAAGATTGATTGTCTTCAAAGCTTTAAATGCTACTTTCGCCTCTTGATTTCATTGAAGTTTGTTTTATAAGTCAAACATGTAAGTGGAGCTACAACTTAAAAAAAAGTTCTTGATGAAGATGTGACAGCAGTTGGCAAATCTCAAAAAAATATTAGACATCTCTTATTATTTTTGGAATCTTCTAATTTATAATAGTTTAAATTTTTTAAAGATCCATCATAAGTCTATCATTTGAATTGATGTATCTTAAGAAGCCGACCTAAGTAATATAGAATACTCAAATTTTTATCTTGGTATAGAGTCTCCCATCTCTTAGTTTTTTTAATACATGACAAACATGAAGTTCATATTCTTTTATATTCTTAAAATAAATTAAGACATCATCTAGGTAAAAGACAATAAATTCATCTAAAAATTATCAATAAATATCATTAATTAGTTGTTGAAAAATTGCTAGTGCATTTATAAGTCTAAAAGATATGACATTGTTGTATTACATGTTATCTTACTTAGAAATGCACTAGGCACCTAGCTATGGAAGATGAGGTTGTATTTTGTAAACATCTAAGAAATCCTAATAGATTTTATCCATATGAAAAGAATATAATCCAAATTCTGATTCAAAAGTACTAAAACACACTCTTTTTAGTAGCCTTGTTCACACATAAATCTCAATTATTTTGTTACTTTCATATTTAAGTAATTTAGATTTTTCTTGTAAGCCTCAATCCTAACCATGAGCTTTGATAAGATGTAACTTCTAATTTGACCGTCTTTTTCATGTAAAATTTTGCATGAAATTGTCAATATAAATCTTCCATATGCTCAAGAATTTTCAGCCCAATCCAACTTAGAGATTGTGAGAAAACCTCCAATAATTCCACTAATGTCACTTAGCCGCCAACTTGAAAGGTGAAGCAAAAATTATAGTAGTGATTTCTCCTTCTCTAATTGTTAACTTTGACTCAAAATTGGTTTTCAACTTGATCTGCAAGTCTTTCAACACCATGCCAAATTTCATCTTGATTCGACAAGTAGATCTTTAGATATCATAAAAATCCTATTCAACCCCAAACTGCCAACTTTCGATATGTGCTTGTATCAAAATCCATATATCTTCCAATTGTAGAGTTGGATTATTACAAAATTTTACATACACTTAGAATACCTAATTATCCAAGCATTATAAAAATTTAAATTATAGATGTGATACCAATTTTACAAACTAGGTGAGAGAGCTAGCCCTAATTTCATTGCATAAATCTCAAGTTGCCAATACAAACCTTGACTTCCAACAATAATTGCTAACACTTTCCAAATCCTACTAAAATCAATCTTATGTTTTTAGAAGAAGTTCTAACCTAGCTCTCAAATCCTAATCTTTAATCTTCAAATGAAATCCTATTTTGTCCTAAATGGTCGTTTTAGTAGCTAGAGGTCTGATTTTGACCTTGTCTCAGAAATGGTCGACCTTTGGTTATCCTCATCTAAATTGAGATTATTTAATATTATTTCTTTTTCTAAATTATTTTTAATTATAGGTAGTACTATAATTTTTTCAAATATATAACAATTTCTTCTTCTTTCATTCAATTTCATCTATTTATTTTATAATATAGAAGTAAATAAGGTCATAGGAGGTGCACCTTTATAAGTAGAAAATAGAGTGGCAACTCTTATAGATCTTTGAGCTCTTATGGATAATTTATAAGAGGAGATTGTATTTTTTTGCAATTCAAATAAAGAATCTCATATTAATTTATAACTGAAGAAGTTAAATAAAAAATTCATAGTTTATAGTAAGAAGTTGTTTGATTGAGAGAAGCAAGTATTAGACATGTGCCACATATGACCCTTGCAGATGGTTCAAGGACTACTACAAAAGAACCAAACACTAGTATGTTAGAAAAGTTTAATGAAACAAAATCCAACTTCCAAGGTTTTGTGCAATAAGTATAGTGTTGTAATATGTGAAGTTTTACTTGAGAATGCTCCAAACACCTGACTGTGGAAGGTAGAATGGAAATTGTAATAACAAAATCCTAAATCTAATAGAACATTAACTAAACTCTAATTAAACCATAACAATGTTAAGCAAGCTTTAATCAAATTCAAAGAAACCTCAAAGGAATTACAAATAAAAAATCTTAAAGAAATATTTGAATGATTACAAATATATCTCAAATACATCTTAATTTAATTATAATTTAATCCTAGTTAAAATCTTATTGGATTTCATTCAAATTTTAGGTTAAAAACTAATAAAATCTTAAATCTTAAATAAATCCTAATAAAACCCTAAATTCCAAATCAAATCCTAATCAAATCTTAATCATAAATCAAAGCCTAACCAAAATCTAATTCTAAATCAAATCCTAACAAAATCTTAAATCCTAAATCAAATCCTAACCAAATCCTAATCCTAAATCAAATCCTAACCAAACTCTAACCAAACCTTAAATCTTAAATCAAATCCTAATCAAATCGTAAATCTTAAATCAAATTCTGACCAAATCATAATCTTAAATCAAATCCTAATCAAACTCTAAATCCTAAATCAAATCCTAATCAAATCTTAAACCCTAAACCAAATCCTAACTAAATCATAAATCCTAAATCAAATCCTAAATTCTAAATCCAACCTTAATCAAACCCTAGTAATTTCTACAATAGATTTAAACCTCAATAACTAATGAATGAACAGTTGATCTTCACTCAAAATTTGCACACTTCTTAACAATTGAGTTGAAAAAAAGCAAAAAAAAATTTGAAAAGGATCGAAATTACCAAATAGATGATAACCTCAAAAATGTGCTCAGGTATTGGCTAGCTTCCTTCTCTGACCTTGATGCCAATCTTCTAGAGCCAATATCTCTCCCTTTCACCAATTGATTGATTTCAAAATTCTTCTATACATAGGAAAAGAAGTCTAATTTCCTCACCTATAAGTTTGACTCCAATCCAAAATAACAACCCTATTTTATTTTAGAAAATTTAAGTCATCCAAAAACAAATTTGAGTTTGTAAAGCTCTTACAAAGTCATTTCGAATCCAAATCACACAAAAACAATGCTTATAGAAATCTTATCTAGTGTGCTATCAAATCCCATTCTCTGATCTACCAAAGAACCCACGAGTTGCTGTAGGTGCTCAGTTTTGTGCCTCAGGGTCTGATTTCGATCCAAGGTGATAACTGGCCCTCTTTGGGTATCAAATTTTGTCTTTTTGAGTTAATTTTTGTTAAAATCCACTCCTAACTTCTTCCTATAAATGCTCATATCCTTTATTTTTCTAATCTACTTTATTATGCCTTATTTTTGGCCCTACAAAGTAAGAAGAAGCTATCTTTCTAAAATGTAGCATTACTACTAAAATTTTTACTACCTTCCTATCTTTCATCCATATTTTTTTAGTTTATCTTTTAACTTGGCTCTTCTATAATAAGATCCATATTATTATCTTTCACCATACAGTTGTGTTACAACACAACAATGGCTCTACTAACGCTTATATCCTTCTCGTTATCAAAACAGGTTTACTCAAGTTACTTTTGTAGGTACTTTTTTTATTAAGAAATACTTATTCATAATTTATTCCATTATTAAAAAAAAAACTCCAATATTATATGACCTAAAGGCCTTTATGGAGAGATTTATTGTTGTATTTGAGGATAGTGATCAAGTGATGGTGGTAGCAAAGAAGATACAAAATTTGCAACAAAGATCACTTTTAATCGTAATTTATGCAACAAAATTTCAACGGCTTGCATGTGACCATGATTGGAACAATAAGGCATTTATAACTCGGTTTCAATATTATTTAAGAAACAATGTGAAAAATTGATTGATTACAATGCCATGAACCAATAATTTAAAAGAACTCATATCTCAAGCTATCACTTGCAATAATTGCTTATTTGAATTGTGATAAGAAAGATAATAGATTCCTAGTAATAATTACCAAGGTGCAATTGTTATTTCTTTAAAAACATCAAAGAAGCATTCAATGGGCCTTAAACCTATGTAGATTGATGCAACTCAATTTAAGCTACTAACGTAAATAGAAAATAATAAGCACCAATAAGAAAATTATTTTGAATTGTCTAATTACACAATGCAAATTGTCCAAACAAGTTTAGGAGATTCAAGGTACAAAGTATGACATCAAAGGAATAATAATTTTGATTTCCCTAAGGTGAATTCTAGGGTTCAATCCTAGGTTGATCCTATTGTGACATGACAAAGGGGTCCATCATGTCACAACTCATCACAATGTCATGTCACCATTACATTGTCACAATTGATAATTCTGTATAAACCCTAAATAGGCCAAAGTAGCCTTCTTCCTGCCAAATCTGAGAAACGCAAAGCCTTCCATTGCCCATTATCCCTATTTGACACCGTTTGCATGTTAAAATAGATTACTGATCAAATGATTAAATATATTGAGAAAATGATTGATTTAAATAGTGAGCCATTTCAGTACCCGGAGGTCCAGACGCGACCCGCCCATCAGGAGTATACACAAGTCATCACTAGCACGTGAAGGTGGGCAAAAAAGGCCCCTGGGCTCTTTCCGGAGAAAGAAATAATATAGCAAGTGGACTTTTCATACCATGTGCTCTTGATAACCAATCATATACATACTATATACATACCATATTCATATCCGTAACCAACCATATACCTTGATGACATGGATTCTTTGGGAATAATACATGTTCGTAGCGAACCTGCATGCTTCAGACAGGATTGACCACTGAATCAACGCGTTCTACCCCATCGCCGGTTCTATGATACAGATTTCATGCTGTGGAGCCAATATATGTCCATAACATAGTAACTTCTAACTTAGTCGCTGCCTAGGATTCTCATTGTGGTCCAAGATAAAGCTTATGTGTCGTGTCCATAACTGCAAGCGGCTACTTCAACTTAATTTCTGAGCATTATCTAATTTGGAAGCTGTCAAGTTGCAAGCCACCGATGGTCACTGTAATTTTAATTAGAGCTCCAGAGAATCTTATCATCAAGCCTTGTGCTACAAAGTCGTCGTGGAACCCCGCCTGCAACAGGCTCGCTCTGCTTGACAAAAGTTTGTTGGGCAAATTGTATATGAATTCCGTACAGACGAAATTGAGACATCAGTTGTGAGTGAAGACGAGGATCATATGTGACCCATACAGTGTCGACGTTGACCGCTTGGTGGCTCGTGTTTATAATATAGACTGTTTGTCACATCTTTCGCCGCATGTTATCCAGAGCATTTGCTTGCTTTCCATTGCGAATCCTCTGCTTGAGTGTGCGATCGAATCTCGTGATCATCAACTTGGCACTGTCAATGCTGAGAACTTCTTCACGAACACCAACTGATCCCGTCTGAGGCCTTCAGTTCGATGCCCAACTGTCCACAACTTTATTACAAGCAACAGTCAGTCGGAGAAACTCGGCAATGGCAGGGTCAAGCTTGAAAGTTTCGGAGCATGTAACAACACCTGGTTCCGAGACGGGTTGTGTTTTGGGTGTCAAGGGATGGGTGCTGCATCAGCGCCGACTGAACTCAATCATGCTTGTGGTGGTGGTGGCGGTTCTCTTCTCGTCACCTCTTCCCACCGAGGCTGTCAATCGAACGATTTTCTCACCTGTCCAGTGTGAGTGTAATTGCTCAATATTCTCGTGTATTAACCGTTGCTAGCTGATATATACCAGCTGTAGAAGTAAATTCTTAGAGCACTGAGAGCTAGCTTCTTATATCCTCAAGCGCTTATGCGCCGAGCGTCCATTGACGATGATCATATCACTCCAGCTTTAAGGCTACACCGCGTAAGTTATGAGTCAAGTACTGAGGCATAGTAATGTATGTGAGGTATCTGAGGATGCACGCATCTTAAAGCTGGTGTGTAATATGTAAATGGACGCATAAGCACTAGAGGAAATAAGAAGCTGAATTAGGCCGCTCAGAAAGGGCATGCTCACAATCAGGCATATTAATTTCTCTTCAATGTCCTGCTCAGATGCTCTCCACTGCAAGTCTGCAACATTTCCAAGTTCTGAAAGTTTGTAATTTAGCTAGGAACTTAATTATTATACTGAAATTGTCGATGAAGCCTTCCTCCTATAAATTTCGGCAAACTCAAGTGTACATGTCCATTCCATCCGCCATCATGTCTCTTCACCTGTCGGTGACGCAGTCTGCGAGGGGCCAGGGCTCAGACTAGGTAGAATTATTAGTTTTTTGTACTTGTGACGGAGTAGTTTTCCTACTCATTCTAGCAGGGTCGACGGGGTTGAGAAGAAGAAGGATAAGGATCTGCGTCTCTTGAACCTAGGGCGATATTCTTGCTGCGCTAGAGAGAAAAGAGAGTGAGACTTGAAATTCTCAAGGGGCCTGGCCGGATACAGGCTAAGTTAATCACAGGTGTGGAAGTGGAGTAACATCCCATGTGGCATGTGATGTTGAGTTTGTGTGTGTGTGGTGGGATTTGGGCCAGTGGATGCTCTGCAAGCCCTTTTGGCGGCATGGAGCAAAACCACTCCCGACCAGCGAAACAATTTGGGTGGCTGGAATTCTTCCCAAATCTTCCCTTGCTGGCAGATTTATAAGAACCCTGACAATATTCCTAATTGGCGAGGAGTGCAGTGTCTTGAGAATATCAATTGTAATGACACAAATGATTGCAGTGGTTATATCGTTGGCCTGTAAGTAGACCGTGCTACTCTCTTTCATTTCTAAGAAATGAGCTATCTCCTCTGACCTTTATGTTTTAGCAATTATCTAACTTGAATGGGAGGATGTACAGGACCCTCAACAATGCATCCATCTCAGGCTATTTGCCGCCGGAGATCGGAAACATCACCACTCTGACTACGCTGTGAGTTATGCTCGAAGCCCTAATCCTGTAGAATTTGCTTGGCACCGGAGAGCACAATATTTTTCTTATCCCCCTTCCCCCTCCTTCTTCTAGCTGAGTTCATATGATCTGACGAGATTAATACAAGAGCACAGCAACACCAAAATGGGCCTTACCAACGACTATTATGAAAGAATATGGATATATAATGGGAAGTATTGGGTCATGTGTCACACCCTCCGACACTGACAAGAAGTTACCTTGCATTCCTCTGCAGAGAATTGACTGGAAATCAAAACTTAACTGGACCTCTGCCCCCAGAAATCCAAGATCCATATCTGTATATTCTGTGAGCTCCGAATCCGAGCGCCAGCAATCAATGTTTTGTCAACATCAACTTTTGTGTAACGTCTACCCTACTTCTAACATCTTAACATTCAGTATTGGTGCTAATTCATTGCAGAGATCTCCACGACAATGGGTTTAACGGAACTCTTCCAGATGTACCATACCTCTACACGCTTTTAAATTTGTAAGTTTAGATTACAAAAGTGCAATTACTTAGCTCCTGTTTCTTTCATTTCTATCCTTGAAACCCTAAAACTGGAGTTCACACTTCGACTGATCTTGTATGTACTGCACATGTCTTTCATTGATTTTTACAGAGATCTGAGTGGCAATCAATTTGTTGGGGGATTTTTTCCTCAAATCCGCAGCTTGGTTTATCTTCAGACACTCAAGCTCGCCAGGAACCACTTCAACGGCAGCATATCTGGAGATGCCTTCGTAAACATGACGCAGTTGGAATTACTGTGAGATTCTGAATCCGTGCATTGGTTTTTCATTTCCTACAACCCTCTTGTTCATTAAGTTTGCATCATTTTCTCTACAAGTAGCTCAAATTGTTTTAATTGCTCTACGAATACAAAGTGGATGTTTGGTTTTAGAGATTAATGATGGAATGATGCAGGGACTTATCTGTGAACAACCTCACTGGACCTCTGCCAGATCTCACTACATGCCAGCGCCTACAGTCTTTGTGAGTGTCATTCATTCCTTACATTTGAGCTCATTGCTTAATCTCGTCGTTAAGTACTATATGGTATTTTTTACAGAGTCTTTACAACTACATGAAGCTCTCAAGGAATCTTGATTTTGAACGTGAGTGCTTGTGGATGTATTCCACAGCATGTATCAGTCAGTTTAGTAATGCCAAAGAGATGCTGCACAGTTGAGAGTACTAATCGTAATAATCATGAATATGTCGCTTCTTCTTATCATTGAGCCCAATTAATCAAATTTTGGTTTTGGAGGCTTAGTCAAAGTGTTGAGCCAACGTGTTGTCATGCACAGGATATTGTCGAACAATAGCTTCAATGGGCCACTGCCTAACCTGACAAGGTTCACTTCTTTAAGAACTCTGTAAGGCTAGCCCAGGCTCTTCATGCTTCCTGAAACCCTAAACCTGTGAGCCAATTTATTGTTCTTCTACTGCGTGGCTATTTTCTTCTGTTTAATTTCTAAGCGGGTCATTTATGCACACTAAGTAAATCGACTGTGACACATTCAACTTTTGGTGCTAAATTTATATTCCGAGAATCTGATGTTTAAAGGCAACCTGCATGGTTGTTGCAGGAAATTGGACTATAACAATTTTACTGGAGAATTTCCATTCGCCTCACTTAAAAACGCAGGCATCGTGAGCAGCAGTCTTTCTGTGCTTCACGTATCCGGCAATCACGTGATAGGAACTGTTACAGGCTGGAACGGCTCAGATCTGGCTTCTCTTGAGGAACTGTAAGCAATTATCGCTCCAGTTCTCTCGCACGATTTTCTTTTTCTTTTTTCTTTCCTTTTTTTCTTACACAAATTACACTTCTCAGAGGTTTAGTCCAACAACGGCTCAATATTTTTCATAGAACATGGCAACTACGGTGAGATTCAATTGTTTGATATATCTCACGTAAATGGGTATGGCAGGTATCTAGATAACACTGGCATCAGTGGAACTCTTGACGTCAATCAACTTATTGGGAGCCACTTCTTTCGGAGGAAGTCTGCTATTGGATCATACGGGCTAAGCACTCTGTCAATGATGAACAACAAAATTACCCATGTAATTTACACGGGAAGCATTGAAGACATTGCAACTACTTTAAGGTTAATCTTCATAATTTCCCAAATGAATCCATTAATTGAACTTTACAATAGCATAAATTCTTGGACACAAATGTATGCACTTTCTAGCATGAGCACCTAGAAGTTCTTAGATCCAACTGACCCAGCAGTGCTTTGCCTGTTGAAATTGTTGCCATACACAGACTGCAAGGCAATCCATACTGTAAACGAAAAGCTGATGATGCTACAAGATGTTTTTGTCAACAGTTCTGCAGTGATGAAGGTGAAGGTCGAATCAAGAGTTACTTTCAAAATGCATTGGTTCTGGAGCATCTTGTTTTCACTAGTTGCATTAGAACTCTTTCTCTTCTCAGATAACGAATTCTAACTAGAGATTTATTTTCTTTCAGGTTCCTTGAGTAACAAGAGGGTTATCATAATAGCAGCTGCCACAAGTACAGTATTAGTACTGGTCATAATAGCAGTTATTGCTGCTGCGCTACTCTACAGAGCCCGAAGATACAAACGGTATCTCCTCCTTCAAGTTAGCAAAAGTAAGTCCATCAACACCAATAACTTAGTGTTTTCTTCACAGACGAGATTGTCTTTGTTTTTTATGAAGAGAAAGGTTCAAGTCAGAGCAGGTCAATGTCCGAGATAGATTATATCCTTACTTTGTAAATGGTTGCAGAATTCGAAGAGTTTGATGTCAAGCCCACAATATATGCATACAATGAGCTCAGAGCTGCCACCCGGGATTTTCATCCAGATATGAAGTTGGGTGAAGGAGGCTATGGAACCGTATACAAGGTAACTAATTGACAAGATTAACGAGTAGTTTACACACACTTGAATCTTAGTGGAGGACTAAATGCTCAAGAATGGGTTCGGAGAAAAGAAATATCTGTCTTGTTTGTCTAGTTTGGCTTTATTCAGCTGTTCCTTTTGTCAATTTCTTGACGCAACAGCGAAGGAAATTTTAGTAATAAGTTCACTTGATGCTGCAGGGCATTCTGCCAAATCAGACTACGGTGGCTGTGAAGCAGCTGTTTATGAAGAACACACAGTGCATAGACGACTTTCTAAACGAAGTTGTCTGTATCACTGGAATGAAGCACAGAAACCTTGTGAATCTGAGAGGCTGCTGCCTTCGTGAACACCAGAGATTGCTGGTATACGAGTATGTGGATAACTACGATGTCGACCAAGTTCTTCTCCGTGAGTTCGTTAACTTTCCCAACCAGAACCAAAAATATTTCTTCTATGCAATTAATTTAATGCAATATGCACTCACTTCGCATTCTGGTTTCTAGGATATTCTCTTAATAGATACAACCCATACTTTTCAGGTGGTGAACATAATACTCTCCTGAGTTGGACTGTTCGGCATAACATTTGTCTGGGTGTAGCGCGTGGCTTGCACTACTTACATTCACTGGCGCGACCCAAAATCATCCATAGAGATATCAAAGCCAGCAACATCTTGCTAGACAAGAACTTCGAGCCGAAAATTGCAGATTTTGGGTTAGCCTTGCTGTTTCCGGAAGAGAAGAGCCACATCATGACAGTACATGTGGCTGGCACCAAGTAAGTTATGCGAATGCCTTGCCACTTCGAAACCTAGAGTATATGTTTCGCACTTGGACGAAACTTGTTTGTCCACCTGATTGATTAAATATGACTGGATTTCAAACCATTAACTGGGTCCTTTCTAAGATTGTGTATGATGTTAACTCATCCCAGAGAGTAGAGTTCAGGATTTGGACTAAGGCAGCATACATGTACACTCACGCAGGGGGTATTTGGCACCGGAATATGCGTCGCTTGGCCAACTGAGTGAGAAAGTGGACGTCTACAGCTTTGGAGTTCTGTGTTTGGAGGTTTTGAGTGGCCGAAGGAACATTGATGAGACAATGCCACTAGACGAAGTCTATCTCTCCAAATGGGTATGATTCATACTTTTATTACCTTAACGATTCATTCTGATTCAACTTTCAGTTCTTTTGCTCTTAGTAACCAGTACAGCTCTCACTGTTTTCTCACTGTATATATAAATTAAGGCCTGATTGGCAAAACGTGACTGAGCAGCTTGTGCACATGCGTTATTAAATTTTTTGTGAAGCTATTGATATCCAACGCATCGATCATCTGTCAATAAGTGCAGGCTTGGAAACTGCATTCGGAGGGCAAGCTGATGGAGCTGGTAGACCCAGCACTAATCCTTTCAGAGGGTGAGAAGGTAGAATTGCAGCGGCTGATCAACATAGCTCTCCTGTGCTCTCAAAGCGCTGCAGAGGACAGGCCCACCATGGCCAGGGTAGTGACCATGTTGCAGCACGACACAGAGTCGGAGGTGATGGTGCTGACCTCGAGAAAGAAAGAGCGGCAGCTTGACTCGTTGCGGTTGCTTGGATTGGGCAAGGAGGAGCTGACCGCGGTTTCAGAAACAGAAGAATCAGAGGCATCGGTGTTGAATCCTCGTGGTCCTAGACGAGGATCGGTTCGTCGTGATGGGGATCATCTGATCACCGTCGAGGGGATGATTCAGCTCAGTGACATGAGACCCAGATGATAACTGTATCAGAGATAGTTTTCCAGCTTTCTGTAAGACTTTTTCCTTTTTAGAGTGGATGCATTAAATTCATTTGTGTTGAGAATATTTAAGAGAGAGACAAGAGTAACTAGAAGTAATGTGGACACAGAAGGGGAGAAGATAAGCAATTCCTCCCCACTACATTCCAAACACTATAGCTGCAATATTTACTAAAAATACTTGGACTATAATAAATAGCATGGAGAGTGTCAATATTTACTATAAATATGTCGACTATAATAAATAGCATGGAAAGTATCGGCTATATTTAATGCCTTCCACAACTTACTCTCAATAATTTGTACAATAGAACAAACATTAGAGTACAAACAAAGGGCGTTAGTGGAAGTAAAGTTTTTGTGCACAGATTTATCTAGATCTGATACCTTTATGAATTGCAACGTCAAACAAATGATTGCGATGCTTACATCATTGGCTTGTAAGTAATTGCACATGTTTTCTACATTATTCCCTTGATTTCAACATGGGATATGGGACATAGGTCGAGCGGATAAATAGTTGATTCTATCAGGTCGTTCGAAGCCATTTATAAACATACTAAGTTCCTTGTTCAATGTTTTAGAGTCTTCCACTGTTTTTTGTGTTCAATTTCTATGGTGAGGCATGATCCTTAGTAATGCAAGAATCCATGGCATCTTGCTACCAAAGATCGAAAACATCTCCACTCAAGCTATTTGATAAGTTATTTTCAAAATCCTAATCTTGGAGAATTTGCTTGCCATTGACAAACACAAAGCAGCTTTTTTTCCATATATATATATATATATATATATATTCATTTGTTCAAGTCGAGATGAATGAAAGAATAGAACAATATTAAAATAGAACAAACCAACGAGTAACTAAATTAAGTTTAGGGTTTAGATTTAGGGTTTGGATTTAGGATTTAGGTTTAGGTTAAAGGTTTAAGATTTAGGATTTAGGATTACATGTGTGTCCCCAAAAAATGAGCATACTTTTTTTTGAGATTTTTATTTGATCCACCTTTTTATTATCAAGGACTGTGGTTCTAATGGTGCAATTAGTTTTACTTATGCTTCTTTCATTTGGTAGATATTGACTCTTTGGCTTTTGAAGATAAAGTTGATTTTTTTATTAGTAAAGAATTGAAATATTTTGAAGTGATTTACTCCCTTTTTTTTGAAATATTATGAATCTATTGATATAATTGGTTTTTTCAAAAAATGTATGATTTGGATGATATGGAGATTTTAAAAATAAACTTTAGGATTGATAATTTCTTAAATTTTTAGAATTTTGAAATTTGGACAAGACCTACTCTCCCTCCCCTTCTCTCTTTTCTCCTAATTTTTGAAGGTTGTCATTTCAATGGTGTAAAAATATTTACTTATACTATTTTTATTTGAAAGATATGAAGGATTTGACTTTTTAGAATTTAGGATTTAGAATTTAGATTTTTAGGATTTTAGATTTTAGAGTTTAGGAGTTTAGGGTTTAAGATTAAAAGGATGTTCTGTAGGTTTTTAATCCTAAATATCTCACAGTTCATCATATTTTTGTCAATTTTGAAATTTTTCTAAACCATATGTTGCCACAAAAACCTATATAAATGCTTTTGATTTTCAAAATTATATGTTTGATTTTTTAAAATTTAGGGTTTGAAAATCCTATTTAGGATTTGAAGACCAGGTTTAGGATTTAGGGTTTAGGGTGTAGGGTGTAGGGATTAGGGATTAGGGGTTACGGTTTAGGATTTAGGATTTAGAGTTACATGGGTGTCCTAGAGATTTTTGATCCTCAATATCTTGCAATATATCACAGTTTTTTACATTCTACAATTTTTTCAAGGCTAAGACTGTACCAAAGACCTCTATAACGTTTTTTTTTTTTTTTTTTTTTTTTTCAAAAATATGTATTTTTTTTTTTGTTATTTAGGATTTTGAAACCCTAATTAGGGTCTTCTATTCCTAATTAGGAACTTCTAATCCTAATTAAGGATGTGAGTTTAATTAAGATCATCATTCACTTTGACAATAGTTTTGAGGATGGGTGTTCTGACCAGATTTAAGGTGGTAGGCAAAGTTCTTGATAAGTAATTATTAAATAAAAAAATAACAAGATCTCTGAAAGGAGATTAACAAAATTTCTGAAAGAAGAAGAAAAAGACTAGGTTTAGGATTTAGGGTTTAGGGATTACATAGATGTCCTAGAGGTTTTTTATCCTCAATATCTCTCAATGTATCATAGCTTTTTTTGTTGTAAAATATTGCCAAGGCTTAGAATCACCCAAAGACCTCTATAAACGTTTTTGTTTTTCAAAAAGATGTGTTTCGTTTTCTATAATTTAGGGTTTGAAAATCCTAATTAGGGTCTTCACACCCTGATTAGAGTTTTGACTTGCATATTTCTTCTCATGAGAGAACTGTGTATGGAGTCTAAATACGTACAGAACTCTGCTTACTCAAAGCAATCCCCCATAGATAGGTGGTTCACCTAGTCCAGGTCCAGAGAGTCCTTCAGGCTGCTCGCCCCTATGTCTTTGCCCGCTCTCCACCTGCTGCACTACCGGCTCTCCTTCCGTCAGGATCATCATTGACGGAGTCAATATCAGCTCCATCTTCGACTTCTGCAATACTACCGCAGGCGACGGTGGTACCTACCCCCGATGCATCCGTCGATGTAGCCTTCGAGACTACGTCGCTTACTGCAATGTCGCCTGTAGTCACATTATAGATTTTGCAAAATCAGACATCGATACGCTTGTTAATCACCCCGCACTCATGCCCGTTCCTCAACCGACCCTGATCAAGACAATAGAGGGCTCAACGGCAGCGGGTACTGTGCAAGCCCGACCAACATCAACCTAGGCAATGAATTCTACAATGCCGCACACCTTACACTCCAATGGGCCAAGTTCAAGTGCTCCAATGACTGGCTCAGATTGGCACGTCTCGATGGTCTGTCATAAGACAAGTCCTCGTACCTCGATGCCCGATCGTAGCTCCCCGGTACACCGGCTCGCGGTAACCGTTCGTGATGCCCTGTGCTCCGATCTCTCGTCATCGCTTCCTATGCCGTTGCAGGCATCTACCGTAGCTGCTTTGACGTATGCACGAAAAACCATACTCGACAATGGTAATTCTACCCATCCTTGAACGGCTACGTCCAAGTACCGAGCCAAATGCAGCCAATATTCAAATACTTAAATGCACCCAAACTCGCATGCATCGCCTCTTCGAGAGCTCCCTTTTTCAAAACTCCCTATACGCTATCCCCGAGTAGTCGTACCGTCGCGGATTGCAACACCTAATTTTCTTGCTCGAGTGGGCAAATGGGCCCTCCGTCCAATCATGGCTCCTCCCTCTCATACATCGCCTCACCTAGAATTTTAACATCTGGAATTAATTGCATCCGTACATGTTTATCACTGGCCTCGCCTCCTCATCCTCGTTGTTCAATGACAGAAAATTATTGAACCATGCATTGAAAAATCCTAGGGACTAGGTCCCACGGTTCCCAATAGTGATGCCGATCCCAAGTTCAACCCTTGCATATCCGTTTGACTTGCTTTCTTCTTGCCTCCTCATAAAAGCCCCCTTCATTGCTCCCCGCCTTGATCCGCGACTCCTCGTTTACCATCAAAAATCCTGAAAACTCACCCTTGGACATCAACGACCTTGGCGGGCTCCAAAAGAAAGTGTTGAATGCGTGCAACCCTAAACCCTACCCCCAAAAACCAGGGCTCCTCTAGTACACCCCACCCAATGCGTCATCTCCAGGCACCTCTGCATCGTGCATTGTCGCAGGTAAAAACGAGGTCCACCACCAAATTGCATGCTGCGCTTGTACATCCTGCGACATAGGCATGTAATCATCCATTGATTCATACAACGATGGCAACCACCAACTCCCCCGTCCAGCAATGCCAGTCTCCCCGCTCTATCGCTCATAAACGATGACTTTTTTCCTCCCTCCATGAAATCCTAAAACCTACTGCCTCTGTAAAATTGCCATTGTCTCCTCGCAAGCCCCTGCTCCTCTTCACTCCACGTCTTTCTCCACCCCCTTCTCTCGGTTGCATCTCATTGGCCACACTTCTGTCTCTCTCAACCTCGAACTGCCTTCCAACCCCTCATTCTCCCCGTGCTTTGCAAGCAAACTTGAATGATGTGTTCGTTGAGACATGCGTCGCACTATCTTGTTCTTTTATGAAGCCTGAGGTAGCCTTCGATCGAAAGGCTAGGCGACCAGGTTTTGGACCAGCCCGTAGAAGGGGGAAGGATAATGAGAGTGGCATCCATGGGACAGTCGCAGTATGGGATGGACGGCGCCCTTCATATGCCTTTCTCCTGTGGGGGCGCATATGCCCGATTTTGGATGTAAACCTAGTTGCGAGTGGGACCTCGCAGGTGATATTTACTTCTGTCTTCTATGAACCCGCATCTATGAATTCATAATTTTCACAGCCTGGTTACCTGGTCGTGTGTTCGGCTCACAGTTTTGTGCTTTGCCTCATGTTTGAGTTGAGATAATTGTCAACTATCTACTTATAATGGTTAGGGTCCTTATGGAAACGGTAGTAGATGAGGGTGTTGGTTTGGGTGAAGGAAGACGAAGAGGTCGCCTCTTGATTATGACTCATGGCATCCAAGGTGGAAACTCTCTCTCAATCAACATACATAGATTCTTTGCGCGGAAATCGTACTTTTTTAAATGGAGGTGTAGTGGTAGCATTATTCAACTGGTATTGTTCTTCTGCAACTGGAACTAAAGTGTATCTCTAAGCATTTTCAGTCTTGATATTGGAAGTGCAAATGGCATCCAGCAAGTGGGTTATTGCTACACAAGGGTGATATGGCGAGGGAGTTGTGTTTCACAACTGTATTCACCTCATTCCCCTCCTGTTCACAACTGTCGAAACGGCCGGCTTTACTCACTCTACGACTACTCCTGTGGCTAGTTTCAATGATCCAAAATAAACGCTTTGCAGCAGCCATCACTTGTCTTGACTTGAACCTCCACCATGACAATGACGAGTGAGATGAAGTGTGAAAAAGGAAGATTGCTCTCAACTGGGTGTCACACGCATCGTCGACCACTTCTCTCAGACTTCACTTGTGTCTTTTGCTTTTGACACCACAGTTCTGAGCTCCTTCATTAAACCTGATTTTAGCCATATGACCTCATATATTTCTACGTATTCCAACTTCTTCTCTGACTAACTGTAGGGTACTTAGGTTTAGGAATAAAAATCTAGATCATCTCTTGTTTGAAGAGTATACTTTGGACCTATAAATTGCCA